CACGTGTACTACCCTGTGTAATAGCACGTGTACTACCCTGTGTAATACCCTGTGTGTGTACCTCGTACTGTCGGATGAGGCCGTACGTCTGCAGCGGTTCTCTCCAGCTCAGACTGATCTGCTGCTCGTAACTGCTGCCGAGAATCGAGTCCACAGGAACCGCTCCAGGGACTGAGACAGAAACACTGAGGTTATCGAGAGAATCTGAATCGTGACACGTGAGGTGAGACAGACTTTCCACTGATACTCGTGTGATGGACATGTGGAGACATGTGGACGTGTCTCTGACTCGTACCGTCCTCGTCTGTCAGCACCAGCAGCTCGTCGCTCTCCTTGCGTCCCTCTGGGTTACTGAGGACGAGTCTCAGGCTTACGTTGGTGAAAGGTGGAAGGTTACGCACCGTGTGCTGCGGCACGCTGCTCACAGTGTCGTACACCACCTCCTCCCTCACCTCCTCCTTCACCCGCTCCCTGCACCAGACACAGAGGGGGAGGGGTTATTATTGCTGGGCCCCTGCCTGACTTTACCTGTGGGGCCGTCCTCTGAACCTGGTGGCCCCCCTCTTTCTCTTTATTTGACAACCCCTCCCCCCACTTTTATCTGTGGCCCCTCCCTATTTTACCTGCTGGCGGTCCCTGCTGGTCTGTAGTGGTACTGTGCGGTCACGTTGTAGCTGTGGCAGCGCGTCACGTTGTATCCGAACGGTTCCCATCGAACCGTCATCTGTTTGGATTGAATGTCAACAACCTCCAAACGCTGCGGGCCGTGCATCGGATCTGACGCACAAACACACAAAGATAAACACATGATCATTGATTATTGATTCTCGTTGTGGCCCCGTCACAGGGATCTTAGTGAGGACGCTCTTAACCATCTCAACGAAATGACGAACCCCGACCCTGAACCTGAACATCACACCAAGACTCAACCTTCAATCAGTCAATGAAGACGTGAGGACAGGACGAAATGTCCTTCAATTCAAATGGTCCTCACAAAGATGTAAGTACAAGTACACAGAACTGAACCGACACAAAGAGAGAGAAGACACACACACTCACACACAC